CATGCTGGTGCAACAGTGAAAGCACGTACGCTTTGGTGTTAGCACTCGAACTGTAGTGTTTTTTTTATATAAGTGAAAAGTTTCTTCGGAAAAAAAAATGAGAGTTAAGACCTCTCGAAAATACTACAGATTCTTCTTACAAATGTTTTTTCGAAGCACAGCCTAGAATCACTTGCAGCTGTGATTAATTCCAACTAAATTCTCATAAAATTCCAGCTTTCTTGTTTATCTCACTACTGAGTTTAAAGTGGAGATGAAATCTGGATAAACAGAGACACTGCCTCTCGAAAATACACGTCTCTACGTTTCACCAATTGTGCAAAAAACGCATAAAAGGAGACTGAACAGTTCCAGGAACTTGTAAAAACCCATGAGCATTAGGAATGCATGGGTGAACGGTATAAAAATACAGGAACAATTCTTAGCAAAAGCAAGGGTTTCATAAAATTACCTCGCTTTCATTGTGTTTTTCGGCTATCTTCCAAAACCAAGATGTCGTACTCTTGTAAAGCGGATTTATCCACACATGAAAAAATGTCACAGTCGTAAAGAGATAATTAGACTAAACGTATGAATGAGAGACTGCAAAGAAGCTCAAACAGAGCGCAAGCGAGACCGGTGTCATGCTGAGACGAAGCACTTTACTCCAACTGGGCGCTGTCATAATTTTCATTAGGAAGCAGAGTGACAAATTCTTCTTTCATCTAGTGAATTCAAGTTTAAAATCCGAATCTGCTTTGTCCTACTGTAGTGTTTTGTTCAAATTGCGCAACAATAACGGTCTGAGAGCTAATGTCTCAAGAAAAATTTTGAAAAAAAAATAATAAATCTGGATTCAGACCTGAGTCATTCAAAAATAAGGACATCCATTTATGTAGTGTGATGAATCAATACTCACTCGCTTTTCATAATTCTCAGCGCATTTCGAATTTGAGGCCAGAAGTCAGAGCAAAAAAATACTTAGAAGTTCAGTTCAGTTATGCAGTCGCTTTGTATAAAAGACCTGGTCGAATACTTTGTCCAACAAATTAAGCCCTCAACGTCATGTCTAGCTCCAAAATTATTAAGCTATGCACGAAGCATGGAAAAACAAAACTGATTTCTTAATGTTTTACAAGAGATTTCTGGCTCTTCAAGATTCCAACTAAAATTTTTACAAAATTTGATTCCTGCAGTCGTTGAGTGGAAAAAGCGTGAAATAATC